TTTTGTACAAATAGTAGTAGCTGTATAGTTAGCAGTTTAATGGTTAGCCCTAACTGCAAGTATTGGCCTCGGTCATAACATATATACATGTAACTATTTTAAATTATTAATAAAGATATAAGCAAGGCCTCACCTTAATACCAAAAAAAAAAAACCAAAATTGTAAAATAAAAAAATTTTTTATATAAAAAAAAATTTTTTTTTTTCTAATAATTTTTAGCTATCATAATTTGATGTAATCATTACAGACTCTAATTATATTATGGATTCATTCTGATATTGAACAAATTAATCTTATGTAGGTTTCAATATTAATTGTCTGTCAAACCATTTGAATTTTTTTTAAAAATCCTTTTTATTTGAAATTTGACCAAGAAGGTTTATAAGACAATGATCAATTTCATTTCACAAGTGTTCGATTAGGTTTAGATCAACTAATTAGAAAGTCTAATCAAAAAACTTTACCTTCTTCTTTATAAGTCAATATTTGTTCAAGGTTGTCATATAATAAGATGTTCTATTTTATTGAAAAACAACTTTATAGACTTTAAATCTATAATCCTCAATCATCCACATCAAATCTTTATAGAATATTTTTAAGTACAAATCTGTATCCATCATATTATCAAGCTTACAATAGTTGGCAATATTGTGAGAAATAAAACAAACCCAAATCATAATTGATTTATTGTCATATTTTATAGTGAACTTAATATAAAACTGATTTAACAGTTCTCTATAATATTTCCAATAGTACTGCTTATCATCTGATCCAAAAATTTGAAACCTAGACTTATCTGAGCAAATTATTTTGGACTAATATTTGACATCCATTTTTTATATTTTTTTGCAAAAACAAATCGCATTTTTAATGACTATCATTCAGAAAGGTTTTTGATTTTATTTCTGATACTAAACCATGGTTTCAAAGTATCTGGTAAATAATAGATACTGAAATTTCAATATCTTCATTTATTTTGAGGTGGATTCTCACTTCAATGACAATAGAACAGTAACAAGAGTTAATTAAATTTACTATTCTTCTTTGGGTTGGTTTATCCAACAAAGTTAGATGACCAACCCTTTCTAAATCTTCAAGTATATAGTTTATTAACTATTTTTTTCTAATTTATAAAACCATGGAAAAGTTAACATGATGGACCTAACCTACTGCTCTTGTGATGTACCCTTTTGAAGGAAAAACAATATTTAAGCTGATTTGATAAAGGTTGTATAGTTCTTTTTTTTTGATTTGTAACTAATTCTAACATTACACAAGATGCAGAATCAACAATAAAACTTACATTTTTATATGTATTTATGTAGCACAACTCACGCAATCTGATCTTTATCAAAAACGATCAAAAATAATGCAAAATGTGATTTGTAATAAATTCACAATTATCTTCACATTGGTATAACAACGACTATTAAAATTTTGCTATTTAAAAAAGATAGTATTTGTAAATAAAATAAAAAAAAACTTCAACAAATACGCGTAAGATAATACAATCCAACTAGATTTTTTTTTTGTTGCATTATTTATGATCGCCAGTGTATACAAAATTAGTTAATATACAAATATTCTATCATATATGCTTCTGCAATAAATCATATTTATGCAAAGATTGTGCTATCACAAATTTGCATTAGCCCAAACACTCTTTCAACTTCAAGATCATTCAACTTATAAAACATTTTATCTAAACACTCTTTACTAATCTAGCACACAATACCTCATCAACAATTCAAGAAAGAATGTTATTAATTGAATCTCTTCTATCAATACACCCAAAATATTCTACTTTTAAAAACAATCACCTAATCACAAAATTCTTTTTTCAACCAACTTACTAATTTTAATAATTCATGCCTTCTTGACTGGTCACATTTCACTCAGACTTAATAAGTTCGATAAAAAAACCTCAGTAGTTTCTTATACTTGAAGATCTTGCTACTAGTCACCCCTAAAACTGCACTCTTTATGATCACTACAATCTTCCAGAAACAAATTACTATGGCTATTCAACAGGCTACTTCTCTAAACAACCTTATTACAGTTCTCAATGAAGACATTATAATTGGCAAAGCCGAAGAAAACCAACTCCTCCTGGTTATAATGTTCTATACAGTCACAACTTACGAAACTTTACCTTATTACTGTTTCTATTTGCCTATGGTGTCTACTCAACTCTAACATTATCCCAAACATTTCTATTAATTTAGCCTCTAAATTTCTAAGCAGAAACAACTCCACAGACAAAACTCTAAACTTCATACTACTTAGATATAATCTACCCTGGTGTATTCGGTACTAATGGAGTTAGCCATGATATTTGTGAAAATGGTTTCAATTTATTCAGATAACGGTTCTCTATTGTTAGTAATTAAATATATTTACTTAATTAATTATTATTCGGTTTAAATTGATTTAGATGACAGTTCTCATGTCTGCTTGGAAGATTCTTTGGAGAACTTTGAAAGATGATTTAGAAACTGAGATATCATTTAAATAATTAATTAATGAACAAACGGGTTATGGTGTTTAATTTAATTTGTTATTTGATTTTATTTAAAAAAAAGGAATACAGTAATAATACAAAAATAGATAATGAAAAGAATAAAATCAAATACAGTATTATATGATTATTTTAAATATTCCCATGTGAGAACATCATCGTTACCTAAATACTCTAATGCCTTATTATAATCTTGAACAACAACTTTCTCTAGTTCCCTCAATTTTTCATTGTCAAAAATTATGAATTTAAAATCTGGTTTGCCGGTAATTTCTCTAATAAATTCATTTTTAAAGCTTGACGGAAATACTTGACTAATCTCTCTAGAACTATTCTTAATACATGAATCTTTTACTTTTACCCATCCAACGCAACTCCAAAACAAAGTATAAGAATCTTTGTCAACACGACCACAGCTTAGCAATTCATGTTTAGTCTTCTGCTCTACGTCATTTGGCCAAGAAGGTAAATGCATATGAACATGATTTAAAATTGCATCATAAATTCTTTTTCTTGCTTCTTCAAAATCTTTTTTGAAATCATTTTCAACGGTTTCATCAAAAATTTTTTCCAAATATTCATCAAAATGTTTTTGGAAATCTTGCGTCACTTCACTTTTATTAGAATTTTCAGTTTTAAACGAATAATTTAAATTCAATTGATGTAAAGCACCTTTGGTCTTAAGAAATTTCAAAACTCCTTCATTTCTTTCCTTGAAGATAGTTTCCAAAGTAGAAAATTTATCGAAAAACTGACGTGAAATAGAAGGTTCTTGACTAATAATAATTATATCGATATGTGTTGAATTTGTATCTGACATTTTTTGTTAAAAAAAATACATATCGGCCATTTATATATTCAATTTGCAAATGTGGTGTAACAATATTCTTTTATTTAAATAATATAAATTAAATTTTTATATAACGATAATACATAAATATCATAATACAGTCAAATCTCTATATAAAAATTCATATTGGCTAATCGAACGCATTTTCATTAGTGTGATATTTTCGAATTGCACATAGATTATATGATTATCATGAATTTAAACCAATTCAAAAATTTCCTGTTTTAGGGGATGATCAAAGCATTTTTTGCAGGGGATCGCCCAATTTTCTAGAATTTTTGGGGCCTGCTGGCTAAAGCCAGATGCGTTCATATGTTTTAATTATTTAATTAAATTAGGATAAGGGTTAGTTAGGAGTTAAGGTAACTCGTATATATAAAATTTAAGGATTGGAGCCGCCTAAAAATTTTCTTAATCGTTTAATTTGGCCGGCATTGAAATAATTCCGGTCCACGACCAACATAATTCTGCCCAGAACTATGGGACGGTCCCAATCCCTAGTAAAATTGTCTTCCAGACATTTTTTATTAATGCTTCGAGACTCGTTTTTGCGTTTTTCACTTTTTCTTTGTTTTTGTTCATCCGGTAATTTTTATGACTGGTTGGCTACCCCTGTTTTAAAAAGGAAATAACCGGAAAAAACTAGTTGTTTGAGAAACGCAAATATGGAAAGATCGACACACAATTCATTTTTATGTGAGGTCTCGTGGCTTCTTTGCATTATAAAGCGTGAATTATCATTAAATAAACTTGTAGTTTTCGTATCGTACTTTAATGATATCGGGAATTCAACTTGAAAGCCTTTATATTATGATTTTATCTGATAGTAGGCCATAATATAAAAGCTGTTGAATTCAATTTGAATCCCCGATATTATTAAAGTACGATATGAACGCCACAATTTTACTTAATGGCTTAATTCACATTTCATAACGCTCGTCAATAGAAAAGGGGTAAGTAACTTTTTTTAGATTAATAAATCTCCCCCTTTTCTATTGACGCGCTCCCAAACAAGCCACGACGGCCTTACGAAAAATGTATTGTAAACTGTATAAATAATCTTTAATGAATTGTGTAACATCTTTCCGATTATTTCCATATTTGGCTGAAGTTAGGACTAATGTAAATCAATTGCTCGAGTAACTTATTTATACACTTTAAAGTACTTTTCAAAAACGTAACGTTCCACTAAAAAAATCACCACAAAAGCTTCGATAGAACATCTATATTAACTATGCAAAAATAATCAAAAATAATCAGTATCCTCATGAACTTCACTTAGAAGCGAAGTTTTCGATATTTATTATTATTATTATCTGTATTGACCATATACAAGTACTAAATGCGAAAAAGGGTCAAATAAAAACAAGAACGGTCAAAGTGTTTAAGGTAACTTTAGATTTAAAAAAAAAACTCATACAAGCTATTCACTATTATATTTAAGTTTAGAATACTTCATTTAATAATTCTAATACTTATATTGCTTTGATATTGTGTAGAATTTATTAGACTAAACAAAGATGATGGGGCGCTACAATTGTAATAACTAAAAACAGGAAATTAAAATTTTATATTAATAATGAATAAAATTTCATGTTTTCCTCTGACATTACAAATAATTAGAGGAATTTATTGAATATTATAGGTATTGCCTAGCAAAGGCAGTAATAACTGAAAATAGGAAATTAAGAATTTACATTAAAATTTCTTTTCTTATTTTCCTTTGACAGTACGAATAATTAGTGAAATTTATTAAATATCATAGGTATTTCCTAATTGATATTGTAATATATATCAAAAGGTAGTGGCGTTTCTAGCAAATGCAGTAAATATTTTAAAATATATAGTTGAACTAAATTAATAAATAATTAACAATGAATATATAAGTGATGGTATTAATTCGTTCGTCATATAAATTATATATTTGATTGTTAACTATCACATGAAAGCACGGTACATCTAAAAAAAATTAGCCATTCAGATGAATGTCTTCCTATGATCTAAAGTTTATATCTATCTATCTGTACTAATGGGCTAGGTGCTGAAAAAAGGGCCGAAAATGACAATTTTTTTAAAGGAGTTTTTTTACATAAATCAATTTAGAATTAAATTAGAATCATTTTTTTTACTTAAGATATGAAAGTAGTTGTATTAATAAAGTTTTGCAGTATAGCTAGTATAGCTCTTTAAAATTTGCATTTTCTTATGATTTATTATAAGATTTATAATATAAAAATTGATTTTCCGAAGATCTTTTTTTTGTCATTTTCGGCCCTTTTTCCAGCACCTAGCCCTAATATTTCAACGATGTCCTTTAAAATTTGTTTGTCCGCTTTCCGTATTGGTCATTGTTTGTTTTACGTGTGTACTTTTTTTTCTTCTGTTACGTTTATAGTGGCGTGATTTTGCACATCATGTCATATATTATTTGTACTAATGTTTTTCTTCTGCTACGTCACTTTTGCATCTGATTTGATGTAACTTCATCTTTGAGTTTCTATATTTGTATCAGGAACGGAGTGTATGGGGCTTTTCTGTCTATGTGCAGCTTGATTTTCTCTAATTTACCTAATTTACATATGAGGCTTCTCTACGTACCTATGTGTAGCAGGCTATGTCTTGATTTTCTCTAATTTGTACGATGAAAAAGTCGAATCTATGATAGGTCGGGTGGCACACAACTTTGCCAAACTATCTTACTATAACTATCCTAATACCGAGAAATCAGGACTCTACTAGCAATAAGGCTTCAATCGAGGCATGTACGACTTGGCTCAAGTAATCAAGTAAGTTATTTTTTAAAACTTTAAGCAAAAGTTTCTCAACAATCACCTAATCAATTTTACTGAATTTTTTTATTTAAATTCTACAAATATCTAGAATTTGAATAAAAAAAATTCATCAAAATTGGTTAGATTATTATTGAGAAACCTTTGTTCAAAGTTAAAGAAAATCTATCTCTACCTAAAACAAATTATTTAATTTTTTAAATCTTTTCTCAACCATCACTTAACCAATTTTGATAAACTTTTTTATTCAATTCTACATATTTGATTTGTAGATTACAAATAAAATATAAAATAATCAAAATTAGTTAGGTGGTTGTTGAGAAACCTTCATTCAAAGTTTTAAAAAAATTAAATATCAATTTGTTATAGGTAAAGATAGATTTTCTTTGACTTTGAATAAAAATTTCTCAACAGCCACTTAACTGATTTTGATTATTTTTTTTTTGTATTCAAATTCTATATAATTGTAGAATTTGAATAAAAAAATCTTCATTAAATTAGTTAAGTAATTGTGAAGAAACTTTTGCTCAAAGTTTTAAAAAAAATTAAAAAATAATAATTTGTTTATTGATAAAAATAGATTTGTTTTGACTTTGAGTAAAGGTTTCTCAACAACCATCTAACTAATTTTGATGGATTTTTTTATTTGAATTCTAAATATTTGTAGAATTTGAATAAAAAATTTTTTATCACAATTGGTTTGATAGTTGTTAAGAAATCTTTGCTCAAATTTTTTAGAAAATTAAAAAATAATAATTTGTTTATTAGTAAAGATATATTTATTTTGACTTTAAATAAAGGTTTTTCAACAACTATCTAACTAATTTAGATGAATTTTTTTATTTGAACTCTATATATTTGTAGAATTTAAATAAAAAAATCAATAAAATTGGTTAGGTAGTTGTTAAAAAACCTTCATCAAAGTTTTAAAATAAATTAAAGAATAATTATTTAGGATAAATCAGGTTTTTTAAAAAGGTGTTTCTTGATAGGTTTTTTACAATTACTAAACTAAGTTTTTTTATTCTTTAGATTTTTAACTAATTATTAGTATATTTATATATTAAATTTATATTAGTACAGATTTAACTAAGATGATTAAAAGAATAAATATAATAAGCAAAAATATTAAAAACTTTTTAGTATAGCAATTTAGCTTATAAAAAGATTTAATAAATAAAGATAATAAAAAATTAAGAAGACTGCTAGATGCACTGCTTTATTTTTTTATTTTGTATACAAATAAAATTGCACAAAAAACAACTTTACATTTTAAATTAATATATAATAATAGTTAAAAATACAACTTTAAAAATATCTGAATTATTAAGATTAATAGTAAAAAGATATATATTACAATTCAATTAAATTATTTTACTAAAATTTTGTAAGTTATAAAAAGATATTTATCATATCAATAAAATAATACAATATCATTATATCTTTTTTTTTTGGTATTAAGATAAGGTCTTGTTCATATTTTTATTAGTAATTTTAGTTATACATATTAATATACTAATATATTAAAGATATACTAAGATTGTAAAATACAAAATAAAACCTATATGCAAGAAATATCATTATATCTAAAACTTATTAAAAGTAAAAAATAGTATATAAATTATTATTGATTATAAATAAAGTTAAATAAAATAACATTTATCTTACTTTAAAATTATCTTAATTATAAAACAAAGTATTATTTGTAGAGATGAGATTCTATAGCCTAGTGGTCTAGACACTCTTTCTTCTATAGACAAGATCAACAGTTCAATTCTAGCTGGAGTCAAAAACTCTGTAATCTATAGAAGCATATAAATGTATACAAAACTCTGTAATTTAAGTCCATGTAAATAAAAGAATAGTGTATAAAGAAGTTTTTAGAAAGAAATTTTCCAATATTGAGAGTTGGTGCTTGATGCAAAAGAAGCAGTGAACATATTAGAAATGAAGATTAAATGCACTAACAAGTAATATGCTGAACATAAAAAGAAGCTACAGAAAAAAAATGAATTTACTAAAATTCCAATACCTCTGGCAATAATTTTAATTTAGTAAATATAAAATATACTAAATTAGATAAATCTAAAAGATAATCTTGGTATCATATTTAGTAAGTTTGTATTGAAGATAAATTTTAAGAATATAGATATTTAGTAACATTCAATAAAGTATTACTTT